AGTGTGGAATGAGTCGTGTCTTTTTAGTTACCCAGGTTTCTGGGATACACAAATCCCAAGCGTTCCCATGGTACCAAATAAAAGGTTCTTGTGGTCTACACTAGAAAAAAAGATAGGTGCCCTGGAAAGTAGCAGTGAAATCATTTTTACTGTGTAGCATTTCTTAAAGGGAAAAGTCAAATGAGGAGTTAAATGGTTTTGCACACACAGATTTTATTTCTTGATGACTGCTTAGCCTCACAGAGGGCCTAAGTGACTTTAGGTGGGATAACCAGATCTGTTTGCTCTGGAGAAGCGGTCACAAGTCCTCCAAAGAAAGGCTGGGAGACAGATGGCTGGCTATTGTGTTACAGCCATCATCTGCTAGGTCATGAGCAAATATTAAGTGAAAAATATACATGTGATTGGTGTGAAAGCACAGCCACGGCATCGCCAGTGCAGGAAGGATGGCAACTTCTGCACATTTGTGTTTCACCGAATGCTGGGCCGAGACTTTAGACACACAGGGTTAATCCATTTTAAACTGTGCTAAAGTGAACATTTGCCCCCATTTTTGACACTACTGTGCAATATTTTGAATTGAAATGTCTAGTAATGGCCCTTTTTTATTTTCCATAACAACACGAGCACTAAATTATAGCTGTGCAATTATGTAAACAATGGAAATGCTTCCAGAAGGAATCCTTCCTTTTAAATTTTCATTTTGTGTAATTGTTGGAAGGTTTAGCGCTGTAATAAACAAAATTATTTTACACATTTATCATTCTAAAGGTCAATTATAAGAGAACTAAAGAAGCAGCCCTGTGCAGAAGGAGTAAGCCAATTTGTGCTGCCGTCACCATATGTTTTCCTTATCACTTATAGTTTTTCCAGTTACTGTGTACATAGCATTCAATTAAAGCGATTCATTTGAGGGGCTGGATGTAGTTTGTGTTTATAGAACTGTGCTTTGGAGGAGAGGAAACAACACGCCTCTATTTGAATTACCTGATTTTTTGCAAGATCAGTGATAAGAGACAGATGTTCTCACCAGTCGCTTTCTCATAAGCCTGAACCTTGTGATAAGCTACAAAGCCACAATTATCGTCTTACAGTCTAGCTTTCGAAAGCGCTCAACATGGAGCTCACATGTGGACCTATCACTTAAACAGGAGAAAATGCCACTGTGTGTCCTGCTCACTGTGTGACCACAGTCACAGGGTGATTTCTTTCCAGCAAAAACAGACTTTGTCTGCTGCGTCCTAGGCAACTTAAGAACAAACCTGAGTCCTGTTCCAGACTCCATTTACCACGAAGCCTGTTTAGTTTGACATCTTGTTTAGTCTGTTTAGAATGTACAGAAGAAACCAATTCTTGCTACCAGGCTCACTTGTTTGAGGTAGGTTCTAGAATTCCTAAAAAGGATGAAGCTTAGAAAAACCTAAAGATCTTGTTCCTGATTTTGCTTTTGTTTTTTTACCCCCACATTATATACACAATCTCTAATGCTTGTTAAAGAAGTTGTCTTAGGGAACCAATTGCTGGAGTTTTTAATTTCTAGGGTAATGTATGATCAAAGAGACTTATCTGTGTTATTGCTGAAAGATACCCTTCCTCTATAAATCATTAAACATTCATTCAGCAAATTTTACAAACTAAACCTATTAAGTAAGTTCTATGAAGTAAAAATCCTTCCTTTTTGAAAACCACTGTTTGCTGACAACACTGTGTACTTCCGCATGGCCGTTGGAAGCCTCCATAAAGCATCTATTCCTGTCTGCATCCCTCGGCCTACTGCTAATGAAGGAGGGATCGTCCCCTCTTAGGGAAGACAGAAACATGCTGTTTCAGAGACAGCCCACAGTCTCTAACTCAGGTCTTGTGGCCCCACTTCTAGGGTTCTTCATGGGGAGAGTTTGAACACAGGAAAATTTTCCAGCAGTGGTTATAGTGTACGCAGCCTTGAGAGAAGGAATCACACGGTGAGAATAACAGCCCCTTCCCCCTTCACAGTCTGTCCTTATGACAGTCTCAGGCTAGGTGGAGGTTGTGGGCCGTTGTGGACTGCTGTGGGCTCCATGGCATTGCAAACCACTGTTTTCAAAGAGTGGTGCCTGTCACAAACTAAGAGCTTCTGGCAGCTAGTGATGTTTTTAGCCAGAAATTTGGCATCATTTGCTTGCTAATATTATATTGGTTTTAAGGGTATATCCTGTTTCTGACAGAAAGTAATCATTTTTCAGTATAATTTTAAGTTTCAAAAAAGTGAAACACCTATTGGAAACGCCTATTAGACAAATCATGCTTTAGAGGGAGGGTAGTACAAAGGGCATAAGAGCTGTTCCTCGAGTGATGGGTGTGTGGTGACTGCCATTCTGTCTTGTTCATATATAAAGCCCTGTAGACTGAGAATAAACTATCCGAAGCTGGAGGATTTTGTTCTATATTTCCAGAGATTGATCTTAATACCTCGAGGTGGAGAAGTGGGGTGAAAGAATGATGTTTCTATGAATTAGAAATGAATGGAGCTCGTCGTGGATGGCCCTCTGTTGGGAACATGGATGGCAGATGCACTCCTAAGTACCATGTGGCTATTCCTAATTTGAAAGTGTTATCTCAAAGATAGACCCTTTGGACTGCTCCATTTCAGTGTAGATAAGCAAAGTAAGCCAGCATGTGGTGGTAATTTGGCTGACTGGTCCTACAGCCCCCTCTTTAACCCCCGCTTTAACCTGCCCCAGTGCTGTCTTTGGTGACTACAGCAGAGGCACACTGTCCCCACAGGCTCCGTGTTCCGTGGGTGGCAAGTAGGGTAGGCTTGCCATCTGTTACTGCCCCTCTCTTCCCCTCTCTTTGCCCAGAGAAGCAGGTTCGGTTGAAGTCACTGGCCCAGGTCCAGGGACTGAGTGAGCCCTGTGACTTTATCTGAACAACATGTGTATCTGCCATTGTTAGCACCAGTGACAAGTTTGTAGTTTCTTCTGAACGTAGTCCCCCCCTCCCCAGGTCTTCATGCATATGTACCAGTGAAGCAAGTTTTACAAATTACAGTTTTATCTTGCTAAAGGATTCAGTTCCCAATTCCCAAAAACCTATTCCAGAAAACCATCTTTAAACCAAAATTCTAAATTCCGGTGGTGAAAATGGCTCATTTGAATTAGTTTAGTGTGTGCTAAAGATTTTAAAAACCCATAGGCTTCAGGGTTTTAGCTCCTCATCTCAACAGATGGAATTAACGCAAACATAACAAAGCTAACATCATGGCTGTTTGCATTATTAATCTTCAGATGCATGGCATTCTGCTACCTTGCTAGCCAGGTTTGTACGAATCCTTTCATTGCAGCATATGTCAACAGAAATGTGCTTCCATCTGCTGCCGGATAGCTTGATGCCTGATATTCTGAGACAAGGCCCCAACACAATGCATACCTCTGTGAGTAATTACAGGTGTGTGGTGAGGAGCCCAGGGCATTAATCAGAGGCTTAATTATGAAAAAGGTAGATCTTTTGTTCCACTCCTGGAGCCTAAGTCTACCACACACTTTCTAACCTGCAGCATCCATCTGCTCAGCTCAGAGAATGTTTGTCTTGGCTGATAGGGACCCTAAAGTGTATCGCAGGACATGATTAAAGCAGGCTTAAATATTAACTGGGGAAAAACCTTGGTTCTGCTTTTTCTTCCATTCCTTCCTTTTGTATCTCTGTCATCTATCTATCTATCTACCTCACCTTTATCTGTAAATCATGTTTATCTGTTCATTTTTGTGTAAGAAAAAGTCAACTGAAATGCTAAAACTTAAGTTTTAAGCTAAATGCTTATCGTATGTGAACACTAAAATATTAAGTATTCTATGATCATTTGAAGCATAGAAATAGTATTATTTATATAAATAATGAATGAATTAAATGGTTCTACTCTAAGAAAAATGTCTTGGGAAAATGTTTTGTGACCACATATAAGTTGTGTTTAAGAAGACAAGTTGTGGAATGAGGTGAATCTTACGAAGGGCCTAAGATAACTTTGGAAATTAGCATGTGGCTATGCTTTGCTCTAATTTAATAGTTAAGTCAGGACTATTTTGAAGGGTTTATTCAGATACTCACACGGACAGCCAAGGTTCTTATGTTTTGCTATTTACTTGTATATTGACACTAACTATCGGTTCCATGATGGCAAGTCATGTAACTGAAGTCTTTCATTGTGGTGGGTTTGTTTGATGTATGTGCCTGGTTAGAATCTGTGTAAAAGAAGATTGTAGTTTTCATTCTAATCCCACTTATACATGCACACACTCACACAGATGGCTTTAGAGGGGGGCCTGGCCACGATGGTGTGAACACTGTCCTGTGGTGGATCTGATCCGGCACAGGCGGGAGTGAGGGACTGGGGGTTGGGGGGCAGCCAGCCCTCCACAGGAGTCCATTATAGACACAGGATGGAGAGCTGGCAGGGAGATGGTCCTGATGCTGAGCTCTGGCAAATGGCTGCTGTTGGATTTGTGTTTGCACCTCCTGGGCACATCAGATCTGTGGCAACTCCCTGACCTCAGTACCTCATGCATGTAAGAAGAGCATTACCTTAGCACTGCCCACAATCCTATTTCTTAGTGCCTGAAACCTCCATCTCTTTGCCTATAAGATTCACTAATAGTATACTTTAGCTTCTGGGGGTTGAAGCTGAAGACAGAGCCCAGTTTTTATTTTATGGGTGTTTGTGGGTTTTATGTATATGTCTACCTCAGCAGTCCTGTAGCTTGTCCGAGGAGCCCACTGTGAAGTGGGATACAGGACAGATGTTTATCGAGCCTCAATGCCACAGGATGGGTTTTGGATAAGTCATCTTACAGTTTGCTGCAAGAGATGTGTACAGGAACCATTGGAGTTATGCACCCCCTGCACTCTTGTTTGAAAACATATCACCATGCTCTGCTCTGTTATGGTAGTCATGCATGTACACAAAGAAACCACTCTGGAATTTTGTTCTTAAAATTACAGTTGCGTTTTCTTATTTTCCTTTTCAGGATGTCTTAAACACTATTATAAGAAACTGTTCACCCCGCTTTTTCTCCCTGGGTTTGCCTGGTTTCTCAATGCTGGTGGGGGATTTTATCACTGCTGCTGCCAGGGTCCTCAGTACAGACATGTTGGCGGTGAGTATGACAATGTTCAGCATCCCAGCTCCTGGGAGACTTCACAATTGCTAACAAGGCTCAGATTTCTCCACTCTAACAGGTGTTGACTCATTAGTGCAATGTGAAACTGGGCTCTCAGAGTAGATACCCTGGCAGCTGATCTGTGAAATTGTAGGATAAGATGACATACTGGTACTGGAAAGGCGTTTCATCAAAAGGCCAAAGTGTGAGAAATCATATCCCCACTAATATGTCAGCACATTTACACGAAAGCAGGGCCTGTCTTACAGACCCTTATTAGTATTTGCCTGTAAATGGCATTATGGACATAAATGCAGTAAAGAGAGAATTTGAAGTGTATGTTCAAAGTAATGTGTTGTTGTTTTGTTAAATTTAGTTTGGTTACTGTGAGTCTCAGAGAAAGAAATAGAAGTCTGTGGTCCTTGGGATCAAATCCAGGGCCTCTTGAATGTTAAACTTGCATTTTACCACTGAGATACACCCAATCCCCAAAAATATTTCCTTAGAATATTAGAATACTAATTTTTTTTTACTGGTAATGAGTATATATTCATATTAATGTGTGGGAAAACTCTGAAATTGTTGTACTACTAATTCTTCTACTAAAGTAGAAGCAAATGGGCTTACGAAGCATCAGGGGCCACAAGAAGAAGTTATACCCATCCTCTTTCCCTGCACTGTTCAGGCAGTGTCTCAGGACTGTGGGACAGCACTTCCACTTAGGTTTGAAGTGCTTTTTCCACTTGTGCTTTATGCACAAACTATTGTGAGTCACCACCCTCAAACCCTGTAAAGATGATGAGTATTTTGGAGTTATCAGCGATTTACATGAAGTCAGTATGAGTAGTCAGGATGCTAAATTTTGTCTGATACATGGTTCATCTTTCACTTTCAATTGAGGGGTGGTTAGTACTTGATAATTTGTGATCGTGTTTTATGCCCTAGTGTCTTCTTCTAAGGCTAAATTAAAAAATAAAGAGAAAGAAAGAGATAAGAACAAAAGGGAAGAATAAGAAAAGGAAAAAATGAGGAAGAAAATGTTGAATTTCTTTATAAATATATAAAGATGTGACAAATTTTCTCACTTTATTTTTGGCTTGGGGGAAATCATCTCCAAAGAACTTTCTTGTAAGGGGTAACCCTTCAAGTTGGCACTGAAAAAAAAAATTACAAGACGCAGGCAAGAGAATCATATGTTGTTAGAATTTTATTACCTGCTAGGAGTTTTTCTGTAGAACATGCTACAGCCATTTATAGAATAGCATCACACATGGTAAGCTCCCTGTCTTCATGGATCTTTTGCCTAAGTGAGCTATTTAAAGTAACCTTCCAGAAATACATTGGTTGATGGGCATATAAAAAAATACTCAACATCTTTAATCAGAAATGCAAAATAAGACCAGAAGATAATAATTTCCATTGTTAAGAGTTGCTGTCATCACAAAGGAAAATAAGTGTTGTTGAAGATATGGAGGAAATTGAATCCTTGTATAATCTTGGTGGGAATATAAATTGGTACAGCCATTGTTGAAAATAGAATGACCTTAAAAGATTAATGTAGGCGGACTTTTTCGTTGGGACTTCCGGCTCCCAAATAACCACCCAGAGACTCCTTATTAATAATGAAAGCTCAGCTGATGCCTTAGGCTTTTTTTAAAAGCTATCTCTTATAACTTAATTCATTTCTATTAATTTATGTGCTGTCTCCAGGCTCATTTACCTCATTCATGTACTTTCCATGCTGTTTCTTCTGCATCTGGCTCAAGATCCTCAGACTCCGCCCTTCTTCCCAGCATTCTCTCTGCCCTGAAAATCCTGCCTAGCTACTGGCCATTTAGCTTTTTTATTAAGCCAGTCACAGTAACATATATCCACACAGTGTAAAGGAATATTCCACAGATTAATAAAACCATTAAGTGATCTGTTAATTCTACTGAGATGTAAGGTCAAAGGAAGTAGAATCTGCATATGGAAAGGTGAGCTGCCTCTCAAGCTCACTGCAGCATTATTCTCAGTTAGCTAGTTAGAGTAACAGATTACAGTGTGTACACATGTGGATGAACAGATGTGACACATATAGTAAAATATTCTTCAACCTTAAAAAATCTTGTCTCTTTGACAACATGAGTGGTTCCAGAGGCCACTTTGCCTGGGAAATGAGCCAGACATGGTCCTGCATCATCTCTGTGACATGTGAACTCTTAAAAGTCAAATGAACACAAACAAAGAGTAGTCTGGTGTTTGCTAAGGGCTGGGGAGTAGATGGGGTGATGTTGGTCAGTATAGAAAGTTTTGGTGAGTTTTTGAAACCTCTTTCAAAAATGATGATCATAGTTAAAAATACTATATTGTAAACTTGAAATTTATCAAGAGTGTACCTCTATGAACAAGGACAGCTCTCTGAGATGATATCTAGGTTAATAAAGCTTAATTGTAGCTTTCACTTTACAATGTGTGTGCGTTTAATACACTGTAAACAGACATACATGTTATACCCCTTAAATCAGTGTTTCTCAACCTTCCTAATGTTTTAATGCAACCCTTTAATACAGTTCGTTGTGTTGTGGTGACCCACTCCTTCGACCATAAAATTGTTCCATTGCTACTTCATAACTATAATTTTGCTGTTGGTATGAATCTTAATGTAAATATCTGATATGCAACCCCCAAAAAGGTAAGCAGTAAACACAGGTTGAGAACCATTGTCTTAAATATAATTTTATCTGTCATACCTCAGTGATAAAGAAACAATAGCTATCCCAAATGGTGTTCTAAACAGAGAGAATATGAATATAACAGTTATATAAAGGAGAGAATGATTCTTTGAATTGCTTTCCTGTGTAAATGCGAGATTTAAAGCTGTGCACATGATGAGAGGTGCTTGGATGAAACATACCTGCTCAGCCAGAGTTTTTAGGTATCACAGTTAATCAGGAATTTGAGATATCCCTGCTTGCCCAGGCAACTAAAGAGAGAAGTGTGTGCTTCCACACAGCAGCCATATTTAACAGCCAAAACTAGAACCAGTCCAAATATCCATTAGCAACAGAGCAAAAATAATAATGTACATACCATGGAATACTGTATAGCAGCTCACAGCAGGGAGCCCGGGTCTATATTGCTCTTTGGTTGGGTTTGGATTTATGAGTGAAGAGGACAAAAACTACTGCCAACACCCCAAAGTTAGGTGGTAAAGAAATGGGCAGTTCCAGCAAGGGTGACTGTCAGTCTCTTTGGAAAGTGTCCCAGAAGCCCTGTGATAAAAGTGCTCATACTGCAAAGGAGCTGTGAGCTGTATCAGATGCCTCTGAGGTCAGATAAGATTGAGACTGGAGGTGTTCACTGGGTGTGTACCATGGAGATCATTAGCCAAAGTACTTACCATGCCTGACTTTAGCGAACCTTAGCAGTTCCAGCAGTCACTGCAAACCCTCATACTTAAAAACGAAACAAAGCGTGCTTCTGACTCTCTCCCTGATGCCACTGCTCCATTCCCAGCTGGCACCACTCTTCCCCCATCTCTCCAACTCCCCTCCTTATGAATGCCCTTGCTTTTTACTTGAAAAACAATGCTAGGTCATTCTCATTTACCCTGCTCTGTCTAGATCACAAACACTTGAACTGATTTTAAACAGCCAGGACAGAGCCGTTTGCCTTTCTAACTCTGAATGGGTCTGTAGACCGGTTTTCATAACACTTGTTTACATCAAATGTAGAGATGTTTTCCTGCAAATTTGCCTCTTCATTTAGACAAATTTCTCGTGCCTAAACATCCACCAGGAAAATAACCATAAATAGTTTAGTGCTTCATATCTAGAAGGAAAAATAAAGATTCTCTCTCAAAACCAGAACAAAGTAAAAACGTGTTCTTCAAGCTTCCAGCCTGTGTAAAGAAACTCGGTGTTTCCCTCTTGTGTGCAGGTGCCCCGTTCAGAAGCTCTCACACTCCTTGGTTCCCTTGTCTGCTTCCCAAATACCTACCGGGAGATCCCTCTGCTGCAGTCCGTGCCAGAAGTGAGTGAGGTCATCCCAGGAACTGAAGATGTCAAGGTACATAGCTGAATCTTGAGCTTAGTGTCCACGGCTGGAGTTCCATCACCGTCTTCCATCCTATGCACTGATCTATTTTCCCCTGACATTTGCTGTTTCTTTTGAAAGCTTCAGTAGTCATTTTCAGAAGTGAGTTGTATGAACTGTGAATGTATCACATTCACAGCATATTGCAATTAGACCTGAGAGCCCTGTTCCTCTGGTGTTTTTTTTATTAGTTCTGTTTATTGTTCCTAGAGATCATAATTATGTAATGAATCATCATTTGTAGTAATTCTGTTAGCTTAGTTATGCTGCATTAGTGTAGCAAATGAATTTATAAGAAATAATTCCAGTAAGCTAAATATTCAATCCCATTGCTGGCCTGATTAAATGCTACTAATAACCTGAAATTCCAAATTATTTCTTGGGGAATAAAAGTAAGCATTTTTTTTTTCTGTCTTCAGCTGACATTTGAAGCAAACAGAAAGTCCCAGCACCAGTCAATCAATCTGTAACCCTGATTATAATCTGTAATTCAATGTGCAGTGTGTAATCCAATCAAAATAAAATGGAGATTTTCCTATCTGGAAGTCTCAAATGCTTTGCTTGATTTCCACTGGATCCCTAGAAATGCTGTGCTGCAGGCTGGCTCAGTTACCCAGTGAGGCACTTGCTGAGGCGAGCCAAGTTCTCTCTGAAGGAAGGGCTGCCCTAACTCCGTGGCCTTTCACTAGCTCCAGGGTGCCTGTGACATGGTCAGCACATGCGGGAAACCAACAATGACATCACATTTTCATTTACTGAATTTTGTGTTTTTAGCATTACCTCATAAATATTTTACTGAAGAATGCTACCGAGGAACCAAATGAATGTGCAAGGTAAATGATGAACAAGAGGTAAACTATGTTAGAATTTTAAGATGCACATTTATGTCTAAACAGTTACTGTTTAAAAAAAAAAACTTTCCATTTCTCTTACACACAGTGAAATGTATAGTAAGCATTATGTCAGAAAGATGCTGTGCTTAGCTGCTTATAATGTCATTATTACTAGAGAAAATAGTAAGATGCAGAGTAAGATCGAGTATACTGTGTTTTACATAAAATGCAAGATTAGAAATAAGTGATGTTTTCAGAAAAAAGGAGGGGTAAAGCAACAGTTCATAAAAGCTGTATGTTTCGGGCAGAGATTCTAAACTGATTTGTACCTCGAGACATTTGGCAATGTGTAGAAACATTTGGGTGTTTCTTTCTTTCTTTCTTTTCTTTTTTCTTTTCTTTTTTTTTTTTTTTCGTTTTTCGAGACAGGGTTTCTCTGTGTAGCTTTGCACCTTTCCTGGAGCTCACTTGGTAGCCCAGGCTGGCCTCGAACTCACAGAGATCTGCCTGGCTCTGCCTCCCGAGTGCTGGGATTAAAGGCGTGCGCCACCACCGCCCGGCTTCATTTGGGTGTTTCTACCAAGCATCTAAGACCTTGAGAGGAGAGGGGCTTTCTAAGCCAGCTATATGGTAAGAAATCCCTCCCTCTCCTCTCAAGGTGCAGGCCAAAGCTAGGAATGCTGAGAGAGAGAGCATCCACCTCTCACTCAGCTTCCAACCTTGTAAGGCCGCTTCAGCCTCTGACTGCCTCATGGCAATTAGCACATGTCCTGGTCCATAACCTTACTGTCTTGTGAACTCTGCTGATTTTAAAGTTTATTAACTTTTATATTTTTCTGAACTTCACTTACCTTCAGTAGATGGATTAGTCCAGTTTTCCTAGTCCACCATTTTCAGAAACTATGTGTGCATTACCAGTTTGCTAACATTGAACTAAACTTGGGTGTGAGATACCCCCATCTTGATTTATAGATTCTGGTTCAGGTAATATTTTGTTCAGGAAGTTCCATTACATCTATAATTTTCTAATCCCATCAAGCCCTCACCCTGTTTGGGTGTCAGGCAAGGGAGTCACAAAACAAGGAACGTATTCTCCCCCCACTCAGAATATCTTTTGCAGCAGTAGGATTATAGTATCCTGTGTATTGGTAGATCTCACTAGCATAAGTGTCCAAGAAGTAGTCCATCTCATCTTTGCTGTTAAATATTTTGTGTATTCTCTGGCTGTAAGGCTAGTCTTGTTGGATTTATCACTGTTACTGTTCCTGTCTTTCCTCTCCCGAGTTGTTTTCATTTTCAGCTTTGGGCTCCTTCTTTATACTCTTCTGTTTGTGAGGTTATTCTTCTGTTGCTTTTTAAAGATGCATACTTGGTGTATTTTTAACTTTTCTCCTTTAGCATTAAAGACTTCATGTTTGTTGTTAAGGGCTACCTTTTCCAAATCTTGTTAAGTTTTAATATGCAGTATTTTTTAATTCAATTTTTTTCTACTTTTCATTATGATTCCTTTATGGGCTCATGAGGGTTTTTTTTTATTAATTTCCAAATATATAGTTATTTCTCTCTTAAAATTTTTTAGACTTACCTATTTTTAAAATTTTATGTGAATTACTGTTTTGCCTAGAACTAAAGTTATGCATGGATGTGAGCTACCATGTGGGTACTGGAAACTGAACCCCAGTCCTTTACAAGAGCAACAAGTACTCTTAACCACTGTCCCATCTCCACCCTCTATCTTTTTTTGTCTCAAGTAATTACAGTGTAGATCAAAATGTGTGCTTGATGACTGTATTTTAAGTTGTTGATATTTGCTTTAGGACTCCATGTGTAGTTAGTTTTCACGGATGTCCCATATATTCTTGAAAAGAATGTACATAAGGTCTGGAGAGATAGCTCAGTGGTTAAGAGTACTTGCTGTTCTTCCAGAAGACTCGGGTTTGAATTCCAACACCCACATAGCAGCTCATAATCATCTGTAACTCCAGTCCCCAGTGACCCAATGTCCTTTCCTAGCCTCCTTCGGCACTACAAATATACGTGCAGCCAAAATACCTATAAGCGTTAAATGAAAATGAAAAACACTGTACTTAAAAAGAGAAAGAAGAGAATGTACACACTGTTCTTTAGTCATGGGGTATACTGTTCCAGATGTAACCTTACAGAGGTTCACATACTCTGCGTTCCTTATGGACTTTATTTTGTTTTTAATTAATTTGACCATTTACTAAAAGGTATGTTAAAAGCTTTCCACTTGTTGTTGTACTTTAATCTGTTTCCTGAATTCCTGTCAAAGGTTATGATGCTATTAATTGCATAGGCATATGGAATTGTCCTATCTCTGTAGTGAGTCAAATGTATTTATATTTAGATGGCCCTCTTTATTTTTATGGATGGTTTGTTTTATTTTAGAGACCACTTTACCTGCTCCTGATTTCATACTGTATAATAGTTTTTATCTTTTCAAAATAGCTTTTCTGTATTCTCTTTATGATTCTTTGCAAAAGCTGTATGTATCTGGATTTTATGATTGTATAAATTTGTGTGCTCCTCGTCTTTTAATGGAGACTTTATTTAGTTCATCTGTGTTGATCTTTTGGGTGTGTTTTTATCTTATTTAATATTTTATTTTTAATTGGAACTCCTAAGCATTTTCCTGTTTATTACCTTTTGTCCTGCCTCTTTTCTGTGCTTTTTTTTTTTCCTTTTTGGCTTTTAGTTTTTCTTTTCCATTGTCAATTTCATTGTCCTAGATTTCCATTCAGTTCTCATAAAGTTGTACTAGAGATTTTACTATGATTTTTTAAGTCTTGAAGATAGTCTGCCTTTACCCACTTCTAAACAATGCCTGTCCCCTGCAACAGAATCTGCTTTCCTCTGGCCACTGCTCCTTGCCTGACCCCTGTGCTAACACCCCTTCTCTGCCTAACTTCTGCATATTAAAGTGACCCAGTGACTGGGTCTGGACCTAGCCTTTCCCCATGACTTTCTGCATGTCTCACACATTCTAGTCAGTCTACAACTGCTTGTCGGTCATTTCCAGTTTATTTACCTGGCCTTTTTAATGAATTTCTTGCATAACCAGGCTTAGATACTGAACTCCTAACATCCAAATATAACACAACCATAACTGAATCTTCTAGTACCTTCTGACATCCCCTGCCCTATTAAGCCTGATGCCCCCTCAGATTTCATCTCAAAAAATGAAAATATTTACTAAGGTTTTCAACTCAAAGTCTTGTAGAATATATCTGATTTTTTAAAATCTTCTCATGCCCATCAAATAATCTTTGTAATTCCTTTCCCCTAATTTGTTTTATTTATGGAAAGTCACATTTCTTTGAAGAATAGCTCATACTAGCATGGTGTTTAGAAGAAATAATAGTAAAAATGTATTTATTTTGAAATTTACTTTAAAATAAAATATAGTGTTTGTCTTACATTTGACATGTATACTATACACTTTATAAGGGAATTTTCAGTAATCTAAGTTCCATGTCTTTTGTTCCTCCTCAAAATTATCTTAAAAATAACAGTTTAGAGTCAATAAAAAATGGGTGACATGGATTGTGGTAGTTAACAGAAAATCTGCCACTTGTTTCATAAAATATTTAAGTACTAACTAGCATTGGTGATTCTGTTTATCCTGAAAACTGGCCCACTGGAATTTTTTTTCTTTTCTTTCAAGGGAAATATTCTGTTAGTATATCTATAATTGTTGCTTCTTTGAATAAATAGATTTATTTTGTCATTTAAAAATATATTGAATTTCATGAGTATTTTCCTCCTCTGCTTCTCTTTTGAAAGATGCATCGCCATTTGCTCCCTCGGGGTCTGGATCTGTGAAGAGCTTACACAGTGTGCCAGCCATCCTCAGGTGAAGGATGCCATCAATGTGATAGGTGTGACGTTGAAGGTATTCCCATTTCTTAATGCCTTGTTGACATTAAACTTTCTCCCAGGATTTTAACCACTTTTAGTTTTAATTAATCAGTTTTTGCCGCTCCCTACAGTATAGAGAGACAGTGGCTTACAAGCCCCATTCTGAGTGCCGTGATAAATATTCTGCGAGGCTGCCAGTGGCTGCCTCACTGTTGACAGCTGTTCTTGGGTCATTTATAGTCTGTTTGTGGACCAAGCCTAGGCCAGTTGGGTCTCTGCTCGTGGCTGGACATCTCAGGATTTAAGAAAGCAAGGTTTCAAGCTGTGACCTCTTTGGCATGACTAAGATAGGCGCCTACAACTTCCTCTTAGGAACCTGGGTGTTCATCTGCTGTCTGAACATAAGGCATTTGGGGGCATTGTCCTTTGCTTTGCTATTGAGAGATGTACAGTTTGTTGAGCATCACATGAAGCTAGGATATTGGTAATCTCTAGATACTTTTTAGAGTTTGTGTGATAGCTCTGTAAGGTGAGCACCACAGTTCCTGTTTTACACCAGAAGAAATCAAGTCCCAGAGAAACCCACTCACAAGTCCAAGGCAATACGGGCATGAGTGACAGAGCCAGCATTGAAAGTAGGTATGTGTGGCATCAAAGACATAATTGAACTCCCGCTTGTGCAGTGAGGCTGCTTCCTAAAGCAGAGCTTGCATCCCGCCCTTCTTGGTTCCTGTGCAGAAACAGTAGACAAAATTAGCACTCTTACTATCAAATTTGCAGAACCAGTGAGTCTCTGCCAGGCACTGTGCCGAGGGCTTTGTGGGAGTTCTCAGTGGCAAGGGAAGTGTTCCCATTTTACTAGTGAAGGAGGGAACTGATATGCAGGAGATAGAAGGAGCTTATTCAGGCTGTAGGAGGATTCAGCTGAATCTGAATTGAAACTCTGCACCATCTGTCCACGCCCTTTTTCCTCTTCTTGAAGCTATGATAGTAACAATGATTACGCAGATTCTGGGCAGTTGTTATTAGACCAGTGGCAACCCTGTTTGCCCTCTGTGTGTTGTCTCCTTTGGCCCATGGGTTGATCAACTCACAGTGTTCTTCATCCTTGGAATAGAACACTGTGGTCTGGCCCCTGCCTGACCAAACTCAGTACCTCTTGTTCCTCACCTGTGTCCTTTATTCCCTGTCACCTCATCCCCCATCCCTCCTGTATAATACCCGATTGTATCTTAGAAGCTGGGCAAGTACCTGCTACTGATCCCTTGATGAAGAATGTAAGAATTGTAAACAATGATGCCACATGGCACAGTTTCCTCTGGCTGGCCTGGCCCTTGCCATCATATTTAATACTGGGAACTATCTCAGGAGGTGAAGTGACGCTGTTACCTGTACTTAACAGATGAGGGAAATGGAATGACTGAGATCCTTGCTAGGTCCAATCAGGATGCTCTGGCCTCATGCCTACCTAGGGTTTTATATAACTTCAGTGTACAGGATTTTGACTTCCAAACCACAGAGGAAAAAATACTGGATATAAGTTGTTGATTTGTATGGATCTCAATTCATTTTTAAATACCCCATTTTCTCAATTCTAAGATGTTTTTCAATTTTTTTTTTCCTTTTCTGAAACCTAAACATACACATTTAAGTTTGTTCCCTAGCTCTAGCCTTTACTTGAGAACACTGTTAATAATCTGATGGTATCTTAGACATGTATAACTTCCTATATAGTATAGAACAGAGATAGAAATTGATAATAGCTTGGGCCTGGAAAGATGGCTCAGTGATTAAGAGCACTGGCTGCTCTTCTAGAGGACCCTGGTTCAGTTCCCAACACCCACAGTTTGCAACTGTCTGTAACTGTGGTTCCTGGGGATTTGATACCTTATTCTGGCCTCCAAGGAAACCAGGTATGCACATGGTGCCGGTTTACATGTAGGCAAAACACCCATACATATTAAATAATTTATTTAATTTAGAAGGTTTAATATCAGAGGAATAGAATCACAGATGAACAGATTTACTTCTTTGAATGTTTATGAATTCTCAAAATGTCTGCCACATTTCTGTAATTATGAGGGAAAACATAAGATACCAGGAAAACAATACGTGATACGTATTGTGCCTTTGCCATGTGAGTGCCATCATAGTGCCAGATCGTTCCACTGTCTGTGCGTAGGTCTGACTACTCTGGCTCACTAGACAGACACAGCCTGCTCCATAGCAACCCCAGTTCCTAGAAAGAGTAGGCGATACTCACCTGCTGTACTCAGGCCTTCAGCTGTCTGCCTTTAATTCAGTGTTGGCACACTCAGTCCTTCCCAGTGGTGAGTGAGTGATTTCTTTTATCCCCGCCATCCTTCACCTCTCTCACTGTGTGTGCATACTGCTTTCCCATTGGCAGTCCCTGTCTCCGGATCCTTAGGGGCCTCAGAGCCTGTGCCTCCACAGCACACACAGTGCTGCTCGTCTAGAGGGAAGCCCAGTTCTCCGTCTCTATCCTTCCAGAGCTGCAGGCCTCCATCCTACCACTTTCTCTCTGCCCCATCTCTCCCCCGTTCTGCCCTAAGGCCTTTGGTCATGTCTCCCACAGCTCTTGTCTCTTTCCCCTTGTCTGTTTGCAGCTTCTTATGAGCTTTATTAGCACCCATTCATTTTACTTCCCCTTGAACATGACGTGTACATCTCACTGTTATCCCTGCCAACAGTGATAACAATGGAAGAAAACAGTAAAATGCATTACCATCTCCTGTGGAGGAAATGAAACAGAATGGATGCTCTTCCAACTGAAGAGCAGGAAGGTGTGGACTGCTTTATGGAGATGATGAAATTTTGTGTGAGGATCTGAACAATATAGTAGTGCCAGGTACACTAGACCTGGGAACTAGAAATTTGAAGCAAAGTGAAGAGCAAGTACAAAGGCCCTAGGACAGAAACACCCAAGGTGCTTGAGTGGGGTAGGAGGCCAATGGGGGTCCAGATTAGATGAGGGAGGAAGGCTGTGAAGAGCCTCCGAATGCTCATGTGATTTAGATTAAGCAGCACAGGCATCCACAAGCCATGTGCTGTCAATAAGATGTGGCTAGCAGTGTAGCCTCTAGGTTCTGGCTAAGGCTGGAAGCACAGGTGTCCTCATCCCATTCGTGTGTATTCAGCGTGATGACCAAGACTTTGCACATATTACCTCTTTGGCACCCACCTCACAAAATAAATAAATACATAAGTAAATAAATAAATAATCCGGTGGTGTCTTAGTTACTTTTCCATTTTCTATAAAGAGACACCATGCTGAAAGCACCTTATAGAAGGAAGAGTTTATTAGGCTTACAGGTCCAGAGGGTTAGAGTCCATGACCATCATGGCAGGGAGCATTACAGCAAGCAGGCATGGCACTGGAGCAGCAGCTGGGAGCTTGAGACAGCAGCCATGAGGTAGAGGGAGAGCTAACTGGGAATGGCATGGGGTTTTGAAATCTCACCCCCAGTGACACACCTTTTCCAACAAGGACACACCTCCTAATCCTTCCTGAACAGTTCAAACTGTTGGGGACCAAGCATTTAAACATATAATCCTGTGGAGACCATTCTCAGTCAAACTGCCACATTCCACTCCCTGACCCCCATACATGAGAGTGGCCATATCATAATGCAAACTGCCTTCAGTCCAACTTCAAAAGTTCCCATAGTCTTTCATGGTCTCCATGCAGTTCAAAGGCCAAAGTTCGAAGTCTCTTCTGAGACTCAAGGCAATCTCTTAATTGTAATCCCATGTAAGTTACAAAAGCAAATGTAATACTTCCAACATACAATGGCACAGAATATACATTTACTATTCCAAAGCGGAGGAATCAGGGCATAGTAAGGAAATAATGGAATACTGAAGCCCGACAAGGCAAACTCCAAATCCTGTAGCTCTATGTCTGATGTCAAGAAGTCAGATGGCTCTGTCCTTCCAGTTTTACTGACTGAGCATATATTAGCCTATGAGGGCCATTCTCATTCAAGCCACCACAGACAACTTTGGGAAACACCCAGTCATTGAACATACCCTAGTCCATGGGTTATGTCCTTAAAGTCTGCTTTTACACATTTCTTAGTGTGTTACATGTGTGTTCTTTTATTTCCTCAGGTGGGAAGTCATTTGATTAATCCCTGTTTCTCTCTGTGTGAAATGAAGATAGCATCTTCCTTACAGAACTGTCAATGACAATTTGTCAATGACAGAATGAGTTACATTTGTGTAGAAGGTTCAACACACAGAGGACACTCAACCATAGACTCTAATTTCCTCAAGTTGTCAATAGTATGATTTATATTAGCTGAATACAGAATTTTAAACTTGGGCTTTTCATTTCTAGGCAAACAATGACCACCTTTTTCTATAGCTCTATAAATTAATGTAGGTGGTTCCAGTCATCTTTGTAGACTGATGGAGAGGCCATGTGCAAATGATGGCGATTGGACATAGTTTTCATCAATTGCACATGAGATATGTGTATAGAGCTAGGAAGAGCAAACAGCCCTGTTCTTCCTCCAGAACACACACCTGCTGAGCTGCTCTGTTTACTTGGGGGTTTTGATTCCTTTTGTAGTTTCCTAACAAGATCGTGGCTCAGGTAGCCTGTGATGTTCTTCAGCTGCTGGTTTCCTACTGGGAAAAGCTTCAGATGTATGAAACTGCTCTACCGCGAAAAATGGCCGAAGTAAGTCCTTTATCTGTAATGCTAACACATCCGTATTTCCTTCTTAATAATGTATTTGATATCTAATTAACTGTAGATCCTCAAATAATTGTTAGAGAAGCAACTATTAAACTGCCATGTGAGCCCCGTTTGCAGGCGGTGTTGGCTGGCTCTTCTCAGCTGCAATTCTAGGCCCTGTGCAAAGAAGCCTGCAGTGTTCCAGGGCAGAGGCTGATGCTTGGAGAGTTTGAAAGGCAGACACAACCACAACAAAGAGACCTTTTGTAGGTTGGGCTTTATTCATTGAGAGTAATTTGGATGGTGCCAACAAGGAGTAGGCAGCTGGTTTAATGCCTTCCTTGCAGGGCGGGGGCCTGGCTGTTGTGTAAAGCAGGAGTTGTTCCCAGACTAAAGCCCTGGGCCACGCTTGCTGCTATGGCATGGCTACTCCGCAGTAATGAGATCAGTGCAGTATTAACCTCTGAGGGGGAGGTGGCTAGGAGAGGAGGCAGGAGTAACAGGAAGTACTCAACCACAGCTTCTTGGAGGTCGGCTACAGCCAAGGAGTCTTTGCTCAGAGCCTAGCGGAGACTAGCTCACAGGTGCCTGTGATAAGGCACACCCGTGCCTGGCAGTTTTTATAACCGTACTTCTTCAAGCAAGCCCTGTTCTTTACCCATCCAGTGGAGACTGAGGAAATTTGATTTGTCCCCATGACAGATGGCAGGGAGAGAGAAGAAGTGATGCAGATTCATTTCCTCCCTGCCCTAGACAGACTTCATTGGTTGAGATGGCTTTGTTCTCTCAGAATCACATCAAGAGTCACAAGTGGTTTTTGACCTGAAGTGACCTGGAGTGAAATAGACCTTTTACTCTGCTGCAGAATGTAAAGTTGGGTTTAGTCACTGTGTAATTATACAAACAGGATACCTGTGAGAATGAATGACATGCTGTGATGTGGGAACAGGAGGTGGAGACCTGTGCTAATTTATAATAGCAAATGGGAACCTTTTCATGATTATTTTTGAAAACTTTTTTTCACTCCACTAGAAATGTAGGACTAATAGTAGGTATTATGTGACTACAGAGGGAACTATTCCTTCCCTTGAGGTCTCCATCTCCCACCAAAGAAGTAGAAACTATTACATATCATTATTTTCAGATCTCCTACAACTGGCCCTATTATCATCCAGTGAGTGTTTAGCTATGTTTATTTGCAAGGTCATCTTGGGATTCTTAACATATGGCTTCTAAACTATCATGGTCTGCTTCATTGGGTTTTATCTTTTGTGCAGATACTCGTGGCCACAATTGCATTTCTTTTACCAAGTGCAGAGTACTCCTCAGTGGAAACAGACAAAAAGGTAAGTGACATATTAGGTAGTTTCCCCCACACAGTTATTTTTAAATATAAGACAAAATGGTAACTAGTTTTACAAATGATGGTGTCATTTATTACATCCTTATATGTTGGCTTTAACATTCTTTCCTATGAAAGCCATTTTTGTTTACTTACTCTGCATTTGTGTGTCCATTGAATATTGAGCAGGGAAAATCCTGTTTATTTTTACATGCAGTGGGTCCTCAGGGACATAGAATGAGATTCTGGATATATTTCTTCTTCTAGTTTATTGTGTCCTTGCTCCTCTGCCTCTTGGACTGGTGCATGGCTCTGCCTCTGAATGCCCTTCTCCACCCGGTGTCCACGGTGGTCCTGGAGGAGCTGCACCCACCCCGGGCTCCATTGCTGGATTATATCTACAGGGTGAGTCTCCTCTTAGCCTTGAGCACAGATGGTGGACCTATGGATTAAAAATTACCAAAATGTTGTACATTTATGTATTTGTGCCTTCTGAAAAAGACCAGTGGAAGGTTAAGTATTTGGGAAGAAATGAATAATTAATGAATAAGAAGAACAGATGCAATTGCAGAAAGCCAGTAGTTGCCAAGGTGAAGATGCATACATTTCACATGACTGTCATCTTTAAACAATTACTGTTTGCTCAGAATGCCCCCAGTCTTCGTGGCACGTGATCTCTGCCTACTTAAGTTCAAAATGGACTGTTTATATTATAGGATGGTCTGCAGCATCCAGAGATCTGTTTTTCAGAGTAAGAAAAGAAAACCATAATGCTTCTAGTAATCTCTTTGCCTTAAAGAAACCTCAAGGGGCAGGTGTGGTGGTGCATGCTTGTAATCCCAGCACTTGGGAGCATGAGAGCAAAAGGACTGCCTTGAGTTCAAGGCAGCCAAGGCTACATAATGAAACCCTGTCTCACAACCAGAACCAAACCCAAACTAAAAGAACACAAAGGGAAAATATCTTTTGAATAGGAGTTAAGAAATCTCACTTTGTGAGAAGTGAGAGACTTTAAAATCTGTATTCAATTTACCTTTCTTTAATTATGCTTTGAAAATGATATTAAATTATCCCTTATAATACGTGGGTTCATACCTTGTACTGATTTAAACTCGGGTCGTGGTCACCCTGCCCTCTACTGTGAGGGCTTTCCCACAGCTGTCTTTCATCTCCTGGGCCGGGTCCTTCCATCTGTGTTGCCTTTGGAGGCTGACAGACTGAGGTGTGTGCAATCCCACATGAACAGAAACCTTCTCACTTATGCTTCCTGTGTGCCCTGAGAATGTAGGTGTTATTACTGACTGGCTTGTAGCACAAAAATGATTAGGAATGCAAAGAACCCCGTATTTTGACATGTTCCCAAGTAGCAGTTATGTCTCCCGGGCACTGTGTGGGGCTGGACAGTTTGTCAGGGGTCAGGAGGTGGTGGCATACTGAATGCCACCCCTGTCTGTTCTCCTCAGGTTCTGCACTGCTGCGTCTGTGGCTCAAGTACATATACACAGCAAAGTCACTACACCCTGACCTTGGCTGACTTGTCATCCACCGATTATGACCCCTTCCTACCTCTGGCAAATGTGAGGAACTCCGAGCCAGTCCAGTACCATTCATCAGCAGACCTGGGGAACCTGCTGACTGTGGAAGAGGGTGCGTATGTCTACAAGTACACAATCTTATGGGCAGGAAGAGGTAATAGTGTAGTCTTGTCCATGCTTGTGTTTTGGGTTTGTTTTGAATCTACTTGTTAAAGTCCCGGTTTATAGGCTCTCTTGTGGCAAACTACCGTCCCTGTTTCTTCCTCTTTTTGTCTGGTATTTTTCCTCCTCTTAAATTATTCACATGGTTTTGTATTACTGAAAATCACTTGTCTCATACCCATGGAATGCAAAAAAAAAGAAAGGCGGGGGGCTCATTTTTCTATCCTCAAGAAGTTTTACCTCTGGTGGGGGAGATAGGATGATACTGGGCTGGTAGCATCCTCAGGACTTCCCATAGGGAAGAATTAAGCTAGACACAGGGAGGGCAAGCTTTGAAGGAGCTCATAGAATATTCCAGAGCGGTGCTTACTTGCCCCCACTTGGGATGTGTTCATTCCTGTGGCCGACAAGTCTGTAGAGAGTGTTAGGACTTGGCTGCTGTATTTCCTCCTCAGCCACTGCTCCAAATGAGAGGCACCCAATCTAAGCCTTGGAATATAAATCTGAAAGTGAGCGGGTCACCACAAGTGAGGCAAATTTTCATGAAACTAAACACATATAAATGTGTAAAACTGGTACATATTAATGTCCATTTCCTGGTTGTGGTATTGTACTGTATAGGTAAGATGTTACCCCTGAGATGAAGGGTTTTTAAGATCTCTTTTATTTCATATTACTGTGTATGAATCTTCAACTGACTCAATTAACAGCTTGAAAATGTGGCTACAGAGTAGTGTACCATCACCCAAGGAAATTGCATGAAGCTTTTAAGTTTGAAAGCTAGGCCCAAGAATGGAATGTCATGGCAAAGCATCTTTAAGGGAAGAGCAGTGATAGGATAGCACCAAGTAAGTGAGGTCAGAGGCATGGAAAAGGACCAACATGGAGTCATTAGAGGTCATTCTTCGACATCAGGGTCAGAGAGTGTGTGGTCCAGAAGCAATTTAGTAGTGCTGGGTGCTTTAAGAAGCCCAGGGAAGGAGGGAGAGAGCAGAAAAAGGGCTGTTTTGCAAGGAAGTGTTTAGATATGGACTTTACCAGAACACTTAGTTCAGGGTGGCTTATGTAACTAGATAGCATGAGTTGGTGACCACTCAAACCTGACCAGGTGAGAGTGCAGAGTGTACGGTGCTCCCTAAAATAGGTTCACTCCTGTGTATTGACTTAGGCCATTACCTAGTGTTGATATAATGACTACTTTTGAATAAAGTTTTAATCAAGATACACAGTCAAGCCGTCTGTGAGCATATGTGCTCAGATTGATCACTGCTAATAACTACTTAAAGTAGAAGGTAGGGGAAGGGCTTTAGGAGGTGAGAGGTCAAGCTTTGTATTTCCTCTAGGAATTTAGAGACAAGAAGATACTTGGAATCTTTTCCTTTTTCATAGTTTGTGGGAGCCCTGAGCTGGTTTTGTCACTGGTTGAATCCAGATCATCTCCAGTTCTCAGGGAATGTACAGGAAGTAGACTTAGCTGAGATGTAGCAGGAGGAGAGGTCAGGGCTTCACACCTGCTCCTTTTCCTGACTTCAGTGCCAGACCTATTTGAGGTTTATTAGATGTGTTGTTGTCGTGTCAGAGTTTGATATGACTCCAAGTCTTTCTCCATTGTAGAATTCAAGTATTCGCAAAATACAAATCAAAAGCACAGCCTCTGTGAGCAGAAGAAGAGGGAAGGTGGTGTTCCAGCTGGTGTTTTCCTCCTTGGCCCTTTGTCATCTTGTACCTTTACCGTTAGTTTTATGCCTGCCCTGCTGTCATGGCAACGGCGTGTTTCCCATTATGAACTGTGAACTCCCGGCTGGTTTCATGTGGGCCTCTGGGGCAACAACATTTCTTAGCTGGAGCATTAAATTTCTGAGTTGTGTAGAAATCTTATATATTTCTCTTAGGTTGTGGGAAAAAGTTTAGGAAGAGATGTAAATGACCACTTGTGTGACATTTTATTGGGTATAGATTTCATGTACATTGAAAAATTTGATAAGAAACCCAAGAAAATTCAAGGTGATCTTATTCTCTGTACTCATTGCTCAGAATTTCTCAAATTTCAGAGATTTGTTTCTTTCTAGGGTTTTTATACAGCACAAAACAAGATGTTATATGTAAGCTGGTTGGGTAATGTCTAAAGCTAAAAGTATTACATATTTATATATAGTTGTATATTTATATATATTATAAAGTTATATATTTACAGTGATTTATGTGCTAATGTTTGATTGTTCACATTGTGATTTTAAAAGCCAGTTACTTTCTAATACTCTTAGCTCAAATTATAAACCTTAATTTAAATATTTAGACCTTTTCCCATAAAATTTTAAAAGTTACATTTTCACTTATCAAATTGATGCATCAAATCTTATAAATTTGGTAGACTGAAATTTTCTCAACTCTCAGCCTGAAGTACTCATTTCAATTTCTAGTTCTAGCTTTAGTATATCTGCCTTTCCATTTTACCTCATTTTGTAAAGCCCTGCTACTTAGGCTGTGGTCAAAGTCTTTGTATACATTTAAGTTAAAATTTTATAAGTCAGTTGCTCTTGGATACTAAATCATCAAGTACAAATTTAGTTAAGTTCTTCTAAGTGCCTTCATGATTTATTAATATGAAAAATTCTCTTAAATATTTTAAGTGCCCTAATAACAAAACATAAAATTGCTTCCAATCTTTAAACGTAACCCTGAGGTTTATTAATATCCTTATTAGGTCTACCTTCATCCAACAGAGGAGTGCCACAGTAACCTCCCTGGCCAACTTTCTGGCCCCAACTGTCCCTTCAACCTGGTTTTTACCCTCATCTGAGCCCCCGAATCTTTATCTGTCTAGCATGGGATGCTTCTCTTTGGCTTATTCCTTTCTCTGCAGACTGTTAAAGTCCTTTCAGAGTGGCAGCTTTATGTAAGTTGGTTCTTCAGCAGTCTGTTTCAACTATCTTTTAATTCAAATAGAATTAGTGTCAAAAAGAAAAACAGTCTCACAGTTAAAAATCAAACATTCAGCTGGATGTAATGTTTAATCATCTTTAATCCTGGCAGAGGCAAGTGGATCTCTATGAGTTCCCGGCCAACCTGGTCTGAATAACGAGTTCTAGGCCAGCCAGTGCTACATAGTGGCACCCTGTCTCCCAAAACAAAACAAAAATCAAATATTGAAACTGTTGACAGAGATCTCGTGGTGGCCCCACTGTCTCCTCACGTTTCCTTCTGCTGTTGACAGAGAAGAAGAGGAGAAGTGTGGAACTGATCCCTCTCACTGCACGAATGGTCATGGGCCACCTGGTGAACCACCTGGGCCACTACCCACTGAGCGGGGGCCCTGCCGTGCTGCACAGCCTGGTCAGTGAGAACCATGACAACGCCCACGCGGAAGGTGCTGAGCTGTCCTCGGAGGTGTTCAGGAGCCCAAACCTGCAGCTCTTCGTATTTAATGATAGCACCCTCATCTCCTACCTTCAGACACCTGCAGAAGGACCAGATGGAGGGACTTCAGGGGCTTCCCTCTCAGATGTGAGAGTCATTGTGAGGGATATCTCAGGGAAGTACTCTTGGGATGGCAAGGTTTTATATGGACCTCTGGAAGGCCACTTGGCACCCAGTGGAAAGAATCCCTCATTTCAGATTTCTGGCTGGCATCAACACACGTGCGGACCTCAGAAAGATTTGTCTCACAGTGAGGAAGGAGATGATGCGCTTGACAAACTACTTGAAAACATTGGCCATTCAAGCCCAGAATGCCTTTTACCATCACAACTAAATCTAAATGAGCCTTCCCCACCCCCATGTGGTATGAACTGTGACCAAGAGAAGGAAATCATTGAGGTTATCCTGCGCCAGAACATACAGGAAGATGAGTATCTTCAGAGGTGTAACTCTAATTCTGCAGTGAAGGTCACCAGCCAAGGGCAGCCCTCACCTGTGGAGCCCCGAGGACCCTTTTATTTCTGCAGGTTGTTGCTTGATGACCTAGGAATGAATTCCTGGGACAGAAGGTAACAGTGCTCTGAATGTTTTTTATTTTCATGTGAGGATTCTTCTTTTATCAATTTGAGGTTAAAGAATAAGAAAAAGGTTTTTCTGGATTTCAATATTTACAGATTATTTTTAGCTACTGGATTACAGCTAGAAATAAAATTGAATGTGCTATATTGGTATTCAGATTGAAATCCAAATACCTGTCAGTCATTTGAAAGCACATGAAGCATTGTTTTCCTTCTTGTGTTCCTGACCATTACTATTTCTATTTTCATACAAGATGCAAATGGACTGCAAAGGTGAGTAAACCACTGTCTAGCCACAGGATTGTGAGGGATGTGAACTTGATTCACCTCAGACAAAGGACAGAGTGGCATAGGAGGCCAAGAGGAGTAATTGGATCCAATGGGCAGTGTGGGCAGTGCTGGAAATCTCAGAGAAGAGGGTGGGTTTGAGCTGGACCTGATAGTGGAGTGGAGCTTTGGAGATAGAGTGAGGAAGAGATTCCCAAAGCCGACATTGAAAACAGACATAAACACACCACACACACACCACACACACACACACACACACACACACACACACACACACACACACACACAC